ATTTCAAATGACTCGAGTCCCAAAAACGATTTCCCTTTTTACCCTTCTCCGATTTTTCCTTTGCTTCTACACGTATAAATCACGACGTGCAGTTCAATGCCGCTTTGATCTGGTGCACGGTGTTCCCGATCAAGTTGTTGACCGTGTTGACTGTCTCGTTGCTCATCCGTGCTGACGGCAGGCTGCTGACTAGGATCTGAAACACCACCGTGACCAACGACCCCGGCGCCACGTCAGAGCTCGTCGATGCCACGTCAGCAGCCAGGCTGGCCCCACGCCCGTCTGGCGAGACAGTAAAACCCGAGGGAAGCAAAGGGATGTAAGACGAGTCTTCCCCACTCATTGCCATGTTGACAGCTGGAAGCTCGACTGGACAGTAGACGATAATCGAGCCAGACGAGTCTATGCAGCTTTCTTGCAGGATTAGCATGTTGTTTTGGCTCGTGTTAAACGCCTTCGAAAAAATAAATAATAAACAAATCAAAATCGATAGGAACAAGATTATGAACAGGGGAAATAATAAAAAAAAAAAAGGAAAAAGATCGAATATTTACCCGAAGAACTAAAATGCAATTCCCTGGATGAGAGCCATTGGCAATGTGAGTAACTTCTTGAACAGGGTTTTGATTAGAAAGAACATCCCACTGCAAGAAGTTTATGAATGAACAACAAATGCTCAAAAGACAGTTTTAGAAGAAGAAAAAAATAGTAAAACTATAAAAAAAGATTGCGAATTTACTTAACCTGTGGCCGAGTCCTCTCGTCCCGGAAAAAGTTGAACACGTTTTCGTGCGAAATCGGGAGCCAAATGGTGGCAGCTGCACTTAGCACGACCCCATTAGGTTGACCAGGGTCAATGCTCCTATAAAGAGTTGCACGAACCTCGAATTCGTTCGGATTGCTCGATAATGTGGTCCACTGTTGACCGTTTGAAGGATTAATACTCGAGCAAAAGTTGTTCACCATTCGCTGCCCGAGCTTCATCATGCTCCTTTTGCCTTCGGGCGATGGAATAACTATACACGAAAAAAAAAAAAAAATTAA